CTCTTGAGAAGCTGCGCTGGCTGAGTCCTCCGGCTACTCTCGTATCGCTCTCGCGGTACTTTAATGGCATACATCACAGTCACGTGGAGTCGGCGCTGCATCAAGTCGGACAAAATTTCTAACCGGCATGCCCTGTTTCAAGTCAGCCGCCGATCGGTCTGCGCAGAGCTGCATGAAGTCGAACAAGCCTCATGCAAACACCACGTGATCGGTCACTACAGGAACCAGAAATTGTCCGACTTCACGTCTCCGTTTGCAGCTCCTCCCCGCCTGCACGCGGCTGTTCTCGCCGATCGGTTGCATCCAGCCGCAGCCGATGTCGAGCACACCTAAAAGGCTTGTTTGAGATGAGCAAAATCTGCGCAGAATCGATCACCGGTGATCAGCGCGAGATGCATGCCGGTTAGAAATGTGTCCGAGAACGGTCCGCCTGGCTCTGATGTCATGCCGACGTATGTCAAAAAACTCTCGCGAGCGCAAGGCGGAAGGGTCGGATTCTGCAGTCGCGCGCAGTGGCTCTCCACCGACTGCGCTGATCAAAAGCATGATGGGAAACGACTTGCTGCTCATTGGTTTAAACAACAGTGATGTAGGTAAATTCCATATTCATAAAGCTAAATTCTCCAAATAAAGGCCATGTTTTATTTATTTATTTATTTTTTTCAAATTGAAACTGATATATTGTGAGTCTCTTAAACGGGTTAATAAGAAAGCTATGTCAGTAACTCAAATATACTCAAAGTGAAAATTAGGAAAATTTCTCTCATTTTATAGATGATGAAGTTAGTAAGTCTGTCTATTTAAACTAAACTTATTTTGATTTATTTTGATTTTTTTATTATTAATTTTATTCTGATGTTTATTTATTTGTCGCTGTATAATATTTATTTCACGAATTGTAGTGCTTGTATGTTTGTAACTTGCATTCTAATAAAAAAATAAAATACATAATAAAAAAAAACAACAGTGATGAATTGTTCTCTTTTGTTCACATCTGTATTAAATAAAAAATGATTGATAAACACATATTTGGAATGTAGCCTAATTAAATAACAAGTAGCCTACTTTGGGTGTCTTGTTCATTATATTTATTGTCATATAAAAGCAACTGAACTTAAATCACATCACATCAGTTTATAAGCAACACGTGCACTCTAACTGCAGCCGCCTACACTAGACTAGAATGCAGGCGAGGTGAGGCGCATCTCAAACAACCCTAATTTCTAGTGAAGCCCCGTATCGGGGTGTTTATTGGTTTTCCCAGAGTCACGTGATCGATGAAGACAAATGAAGCCTCAATTTCTGTCCGATCACGTGCGAGTTTCGCTTTGGGTGTCGGATAGATATCTATGGTCAGAAGGCTCCAGATCTCATTTAACGAGTCAATGTTGCCTCAGTCTGGTTGATGGGTGTTTGAGGAGAGCGTTGTACTTTGAAAGTTAATAAATATATTTCATTAAATAACGAAAAAAAAAATTTCACTACTTAGTCTATTCTTTTTTGTTTTGTCTTTTTGTTTTTGTAAAATCTTTGCACTTTGGTGGATTTAAGGTAATTTGGTGTTGGTATTTGGATTTAGGGTGGGATTAGGAGAGAGGGGATAGAGTGTTGCTGTTTGGTGAAGGGTTTGTATTTAGAGCAATGGCAACAGCCAAAAAAAGGAAGACTATCTGGGAACATTTTGAGCTTATAGCCTCCAATGTATGTATCCATATATATATATATATGTATATATATAACATTTTACTTATTTTATTCTTGTAAGTAATTTATTACTTTCATATAACATTTTTTAGAAGGCTTGGTGTGTGACAAAGAGCTTGTTTATGGAAACAACACATCATCCATGCTAAGGCATTTCAGAGCTTTACATGAGACTGCACAGATCCAGAAAGCCATGTGAGAGAGTGTTCTCTAAGGCTGGGGAATTACTGTGTAAGAGGAGAAATAGACTCAGCCCCAACACTGTGAAACAGCTTTTAAAAAATAATAATTAAAATAATAATTTAATAATTAAAAACTTTATCACCTTTCTGTCATTCCTACAGTTACATAAGCACTATCACTGCCAAGCGTCCTACATTTAAAAACAGATGATCATATCAGACAATGTTATATTCATTGCGTGCATGTGTGCGTGTGTATACAGAGAGAGAGAGAGAGAGAGAGAGAGAGAGAGAGTTCACTGTGTTTGTGTTCTGTGTTCACTGTGCTCTCAGAGAGAGGTGGAGACAGAAGAAGAAGAAGAAGAAGTTTTATTTTTATAGCGCCTTTCCAAAGCTCAAGGTCACTTTACATGGTACATATACATTTAAACACTGACACACAGCTAACAGTCACAGAGGATACAAAATAGTCACATTTAAACGACATGTTGAATAGATATGTTTTTAGCTGTGTCTTGAAAGCAGTCATTGATGAAATATTTCGAAGTGAAAGGGGCAGTGAATTCCATAATGTTGGCGCATTTACACTAAATGACCTTCCACCTACTGTAGATAATCGATAGCGGGGGATGGACAATAAACCAAGTTCAGTTGATCTGAGAGAGCGTGCAGGACGGTAGGTGAAAAGTAGATCAGACAAATATGGGGGTGCAAGACCGTTTAATGCCTTATATGTTAAAAGCAATACCTTAAAGTGGATACGAGATGCAACGGGTAACCAGTGAAGGTCATGAAGCACTGGAGTAATGTGAGCAGAACGCCTGGTGGAGGAGAGAACTGTTGCTGCTGAGTTTTGGACGTGCTGTAATCTAGCAATACGTTTTTTGGGAAGGCCAATAAATAAAGCATTGCAATAATCCAGACGTGATGTGATTAATGCATGAATTAAGAGTTCGGCGTCAGGCGAAGTGAGAGATGATCTTAGACAAGCAATATTTCGAAGATGAAAGAAAGAGTTTTTCACAATGGAAGAAATATGAGAGCCCAAAGATAGAGATGAGTCAAATAAGACACCAAGGTTACGAGTCAGTGATGAGGGCTTAATATGGACACCATCACTATAGAAGGACTGGTCCATCCGTTTGACTGAGGCTGGAAAGCCAATCACTAATATCTCCGTTTTATTATCATTTAATTTGAGGAAGTTAAGGGACATCCAATGCTTGAGTGAGTCAGGCAGGGATGGTCTATCGGAGCTGGTGGTGAGGTAAATTTGAACGTCATCAGCATAGCAATGGAATTGAAGTCCATGCCTGCGTATGATGTTACCAAGTGGGTGTATATAGATGATGAACAAAAGTGGACCAAGAACCGAACCTTGAGGAACGCCCCGTGTAAGTAAATTGGTGGCAGAATTATGACCTTGTATGGTGATATAATACTTTCTGTCAGTGATATAGGAAATAAGCCAGGAAAGAGCGGAACCAGTGACACCAATATCAGAAAGCCGAGAAATAAGCAGTTCATGGCATACTGTGTCAAAAGCAGCGCTTAGATCAAGAAGCATCAAGATGTTTATTAACCCTGAATCCATCGATGAGAGAATGTCGTTAACCACACGCAGAAGAGCAGTTTCAGTGCTGTGAGATGGGCGAAAACCTGACTGAAAAGGTTCAAAAAGACCATTCATATCCAAATAAGATCGTAATTGTGAAGCAACAACTTTTTCAAGGATTTTGCTTAAGAATGTTAGGTTTGATATCGGTCTGTCCATGTTTAAATGGTCAAGGCCAGGCTTTTTGAGAATGGGAGTCACTGCAGCAGTTTTTAATTCCGCTGGGACGATGGCACAAGCTAAACTACAGTTTATCATATGAGTTATGAATGGTGCGACCTCAAGGACGCACTTCTTAAGTAGAACAGTAGGTGTAGGATCGAGCCGGCAGGATGTAGAGTTGGACTTCACAATTAGGTCACTAATGGCAACAGGAGTAGTCAGAGTAAAAGTAGAGAGAGGGTTTGACGAGTGGGCTGGACCAGATATAATTAAGCTTGAGTCACTTGTGTGCGTGTATTTGATGATGGAAGAAGTGATGGACATCAATTTGTCTGAAAAGAATTTAGAGAAGCTATTTACAAGCTCCACAGAGCCTGACATAACATGTTGTGGTGGATTTGTTAGTTTGTTGACCATAGAAAAGAGTGATTTAAGAACACTTCCTCATACACTGATCATTATCACAGCATTAGATCAGACTATTTCTCTAGAGTCCAACAACTAGATCCAAATTTTATGGCATTGCCAAATCCAGAAAAATTAATTCATCTTTTGGAAGAAAACTCCAGCTCAATCACAACAGCAGCAAACTATGTAACAGCCTGCCACAAACTAGGAGAGTCAACCAGTGGACAAAACTAAACTCAGAATGCTGGTTCAAAACTGTCTTTTTTTGTTTGTTTGTTTGTTTGTTTGTTTTATGTTTGTTTGTTTTCTGATATATGTATTTCATGCATTTGTTTACTGATTCATTTACTGATTATTTGTTCATTGCCTATGTAATGGCCAATGCTTTGGCAATACTCTATAACTCATGCCAATAAAGCTCATTTGAATTGAATTGAGAGAGAGAGAGAGAGAGAGAGAGAGAGAGAGAGAGAGAGAGAGAGAGAGATGGAAGGCAGAGGTGCAACCAGAAATCCTGAGGTGGAAACAGGTTGATGCCTGACCAAGACGGAGTTGGTGGGAGCCTGGTGGAGCAGGTGGGACGACGGGTCAAGGTGAAGCTGAGGGCGCATTGAGCCCCTAACCCGAATGACAAAAAATAATTAGGCAAACTAATATAGTTTTGTCTAATTATTTCGCCATTTTGAACCGAAAATAGGCCTATGTAACATGTAGCCTAGTGTAATAGTTTAGGCTACTGTCATTGTGAGGGGACAAGCAACATGAACAAAGCCTTTTTCATCATGTTAGGCACAGGATTAATAATGATATAAATCATAAAGGAATTATGCTTAGGGGACCAAAATGGCTACCGACTTCTGACAAAAGCGGAAGTTCGAATCTACGCTTGTGCACATAGCCTATAGTCTCTCTGAAAGTCCCTTCCTGTTTTTTCTCCTCTTTTCTTCCATTCTTCCAGGTATTTAATGGACTACTGTTCCTCGGTTTATGATCTGAGAGTAACTGCAGTCGTGATATCACCACTTCAAGATCACTGTCAGAAGGTTTAAAGTGTTTACAGTTTAAGAAAGGCTTAATTTTTAGGTGTATTGGAACTGTAATTATATTGCACACAAAGGGACTCTTATTTTGAAAGAGCGACAGACTGACGTCATTTTTGAGGAAGCGCTCCAGCTGCATCACACAGTTCAATGACAGGAGATCATCGGGACTACACGTGCCTTTTTTCCTGCTAGGTATTTTTTTTAGGTATTATTGGTCAATAATGGCATAGATATTTACATGTGAGTTTCTTCTTTCTTTTGACTATATATATAATAATTCGTTTATTTAATTATTTATTTTTAAAATGAATGAAACTACGAAGCAAGGAGGATGCACACGCACTCTTGCATTAACTGTGTGCTCTGCAGCCATTGGTGGCACTTTTCAGTATGGCTATAATATTTCTATCATCAATGCGCCCACATCTTATGTTCAGAAGTTCATCAATGAGACCTGTAATGAGAGATGGGGTACAGCTCTTGAGCCTAGTCAGGTGACACTGATATGGACCTTTATTGTTTCCACTTACTCACTCGGGGGGCTTTTGGGATCCCTGCTTGCGGGCCCAATGGCTATTAAGTTTGGACGAAAGGGTTCCCTGCTGCTGAACAACACCTTCCTCTTTCTGAGTGCAGTCCTGGCTCTGAGCAGTCGCTCGGCTGGCTCCTTCGAGATGATCCTTCTGGCACGTCTGCTTGTGGGGGTAAATGCTGGCGTTAGCATGAACGTCCAGCCCATGTACTTCGGAGAAAGTGCACCTAAGAACCTGAGAGGTGCCGTTGCCTTTTCGTCGGCTGTTTTCACCGCTCTCGGGATCCTAATGGGCCAGATAATGGGTCTGACTGAAGTATTGGGGAGTGAGTCTCTCTGGCCTTATCTACTGGCAAGCAATGCTCTCCCCGGACTAGTACAGCTGATCACCTTGCCCTGGTTTCCAGAGAGCCCGCGTTACTTGCTCATTGACCGAGGGGACAGAGAGGCGTGCGGCCAGGCCCTGAGACGCCTCCGAGCGTGCAGTGTTTTCACCGAAGAGATGGAGGAGATTCTCCAGGAGCAGGCCGGAGCGGGCGATGCCCATGCCAAGACACTGTGGGAACTGATCCGAGACAGAAGTCTTCGCAGGCCGCTCTGCCTTGTAATGGTTGCCAGCAGTGCCATGATGCTGTGTGGCAATGATTCGATTTACTTCTACGCCTCCTATATCTTTCAGGAAGCCGGCATTCCAACGGACAAGATTCAGTACATCACAATCGGCACGGGTGCCTGTGAGTTCACTTCCGCTTTGGTCTGTAATCTACTGATCGAGCGTGTTGGACGCAGGCTGCTCCTCGCAGGCGGGTATCTGTTCATGGCTTGCTGGGCGGTGGTCTTCACGGTTGCTCTCTCGCTGGAGGGCAAAGTGGCCGGCATGCCGTATCTGAGTATGGCCTGCGTGTTCGCCTACATCTTGAGTTTTGGCATGGGTCCCGCAGGAGTCACCGGGATCCTCCCAGCCGAGCTCTTTGACCAGCTGACACGTCCCGCAGCTTACATGGTTGCCGGATCCATGATGTGGCTTAATCTCTTCGTCGTAGGAATGGCCTTTCCATTCATAGTTAACGGCCTGGGACAGTTCTGCTTCCTTCCCTTCGGCGCTGTTTGTGTGGCCTCATGTCTTTTTATCAGTTTCACTTTACCTGAAACCAAAGGGAGGACACTGGCCGAGATCACTGAGGAGTGGAATAAGAAAGACACAGCTAATGGACGTCCGAAATATAGTCAACAATCGCAAAGTCCGACCGATCCACCAGAATGCCTAGAGATTGAGAAGATCTGAGTGAAATCTGGCTCAGTTCTGCTTTCACTTTTATGAGTTTGACAATGTAATTCTTTTCAACTTGTTTCTATTTTGACACTAATTTTTGTCTTAATTTATTCGTAATTTATTCAAAATTATTGAGAATATTGAACTATATGAAACCTGCATGAATACAAAAAAAAAAAATACAAGTTGCTGTACAATTTATTATAGTTCCTAATTGAATGTTGAAAATCAGCTAGAAATACAATACATGCAATTGTAAAAAACAGAAGAGTTGCATGTTGGAAATGTATGTAGAATTTGATACTCTATTTCAGGGATACGGTTTTTTTTGTTGTTTGGTTGTTTTTATTGTTTTACTATTTCCCAGAATACTTGAATCTTTATGCCTGCAAAAGTGAAATGCAATTTGCACTTATATATTTACCTCATTCTGTGTCTCCAATGTAATATTGTTCCTTATTTATAGAGTTACTTCTTTTGAAAGCCAAACCCAAAGATCAGTGCACTTTATTACCCTGCTGTCTTGCATTTGTCGGAGATAAAGACAGTATGAGATCCCTGTATGAGAGATTGCAAGTTATTTGCTTGTTGTACCAGCAGATGGCACTATATCACCATCATTGTTTTCTTCTGTCTGTCTGTCTTCTCAATCAACCGAAACAAAAACGTTCACAGCATGCCATTATGTTTAGGTGTAAAAGAAGACAATCAGTTTCAACACAAAGTAACCTTCATTTGTGCCTTAGAGTTTCACATATTTTCTGCCTACTAACCTGCCTATGTAATCTAAGTAATATAACCTATATTCAACCAAATGAAATGGAATATTCTATCTTTTGAATTGCATGATGGTTAATCATTTGTCCTAAATCATATCATTTATGTGTAAGAACTTTGTTAAATCAAAATGCTGTTTTTATGAGGGTATATTCTACTCAGTTTGTAGCTAGTAAAAAAAAAATAAGTGGCTTGATGAAAGACTCTCACTGTTCCTTCTATTGATGATTGATATGATTAATCTGGACATTTATTTATTTATTTATTGTAGATGATAATTTATACTTTGCATGTAATTGTATTCAATGTGTAGTATTAAATTCACACTGGTGCCTTCTTTGACAGCTAATGGACTACTTTATACGCATTATATCTATAATATCTCGGGAGTTTCCGGTTCAGCAGTTCAGAAGGTGCCTGTAACGATGCAAAATAGATGAATTTAGTTGAAAATATCAAACACAATGAAACACTATTTTATAGCTGGCAAAAAGAAATGTAACAAATAAATTAAATGTGAAAACATTTTTTGGAGGATCGCTGATATTCATTAAGTTTCCCTCTTCAGTCATCAGGTCTGATGAACCCTACTGCTTTTATTTTTCCCAGCATGCTTTGCTTCCCTTCCCGTAGGCAGTGCACATGGTGTTAGAGCATATGGCTCTGAGGACCATCATGACTGTAACTTTCTCTTATAATAAACCAAACTGCTACACATCATTTTTACAAAATTAATGCTAGCCACAATTCTACTTTCAGTTGATCCAGTCTGTAACTTTTGGGGGTTAAAAATTGTCCTAAAGAAATTTTTGAGCAAGTACATAACCAGCCAGTGTTCAAACCTCTCTGCTCTATCAGTACACACACACACACACACAACTGTACACGTAAAGAAGAGTCTCGGCTCGTACACTATATTGCGTGTGAGGATGCTGGAGGTGGAGATTTTTCTCACAGCACTTGATATAATGAAACGTATTAATTTGATGGAGGATCCAGAAAGGTTCAAACCACAAACACCGATGACAACAGATTCAAAAAATTCAAAAGACTTTGGACTGAGAGTTCGGAAAAAGAGACCGCAACCGACCCATGCGGAGACAAGGATTCATCTCTGAAGGGCTTTAGATGTAGTCACGCAATGTTGATGTTGTTAACAATTTTAGAACAAAGTATAATTTACACGGTTTTGACCTGATATGATAAAACAATCGTGATTAAATGCAATGCCTTTTTCAGTTAGTCAGTCAGATGAACAAAAGTGGATGTTACCGTCATTCACTAGTGAAGAGTACCTGATACAAATTACAGACTTCTACATGCTTTGTAAGTGAGAAAACCTGCAAAATTGGCAGTGATACACTATAAACAGAAATTCAACGGGGTACAAATATTTTCTTTCTTTGTTAAAACACTGAGTTTTGATTTCTAAGTGATCAAATTACGTGTAAGTGTGGTCTGAAAATTCGATACATGAGTGAATGGTTTCACTGAGCCTGAAGTTCAACTTTTAGGGCCCTATTTTAAGGATCTAAACGCATGGTCTAAAGCGCAAGTGTGCACTTAAGGCATCTGAATCCACTTTTGTTAGTTTAAAGACGGGAAAAATGGTCGTTGCGCCCGGCACTAGTCTAAAAGAGGCATCGCTGTTCTCTGGAGAGTGAGTAATGGGTGTGTTTTGGGCGTAAGGTGCAATAAACCAATCAGAGTCTCATCTCCCATTCCCTTTAAAAGCCAGTTGAGTTCGCACCATCAGATTCGTTATTTACATGAGGGAATTTGCAAGCAGAAAGACTGAAAGCTTCTCCAGAGAGCAAACGGATCTGCTCATGTGCAAGATTAAAGCGAGACCATCTACGGAACAAGCCGGGTTCACCATATCTTTATGAACACAATATAACCTTATACATTTACATTTACTCATTTACCTGACACTTTTATCCAAAGCGACTTACAATTGTTATATATGTCAGAGGTCAACTAGGGGTTAAGTGTCTTGCTCAGGGGCACATTGGCATCTCACAGTGGATTCGAACCCGGGTCTCTCACACCAAAGGCATGTGTCTCATCCACTGCACCATCACCACCCCCACACCTTTTATTTTTGAAATTGGGCTTGTTTCTGAGCTGTAGCTTGTCCCTGTGTGTGTGTGTGTGTGTGTGTCTGTGTCTGTGTGTGTGTGTGGGGAGGGGGGGGGGGGAAGTGGTGAGCGCACTGGTGCTGTTGTACTGTGGCTGCCTATCCCAGTGGATGCTGCACACTAGTGGTGGATGAGGAGAGATCTCCTGATATGATTGTAAAGTGCTTTGGGTGTACAGTAGTACACATGAAAGCTTCATTCATATATTCATTCATACATGCACTGCTGACTAAATAAATAAATATTTTCCATAAATGCAACATAAGAGTTATAAATGAAATGGGAAGTCTCAAAATATGACCATGAAAACACTGAGATTTGATGGATGGAGGAGACCATGTTGAACACATAGTGCTTCAATAGCGTATTGTTGAGATCTGTTCAGCCATCAGGATTTGACAGCTGCAGTTTGTCACAGTATAGAGAAATGAAACCATGAGCAATGGTTGACAAACACAGAGTCGACTTATTATGCGTCTCCTGCATAATGAGATGCGCAGAGGATGAATCTGGTTTGTCAGAATGAGATTTGGTTGTTAAAATATTTTTTCTTCTCGCAGTTTGCTATGCTGCGGACACTTTAAGTAAACGATCTGCTGGTTGGTTTCTCTGAAAAGAAACTCTGGTTCTGTGAGGCTGTCATACATCGCTGTTTGTTCTGAGCATCAACATGAACTCAACCGATGGCTTGGGTCTCGGGCAGGACCTGAGGTCGCGTTAGACTTCAGAGACAGGGTTTCATCATGATCTATTATTACCTGCCATATTCATATTTTAGTGATATTAAGCCATTTATTAGGCTCTGTTTTTGTTCACATTTGAAATTTGCACAAACTTACAGGACAACCATATTGGCTAGATTAGGCATTTATTTATAAAGAGAAAGTTGAACTTTTCAGGATTCATCATAAATCTTTGTTCAATAAATCCCAATAAGCTTTATGCTTTTTACTTTTGATATAAAACAAAGTCTCAGCTTTCAAATTCTGTCCATTTTATCACAAAATTCAAACATAAATACCGTTTTGGCACTCTTTAATGTGAGATCACTGTGGTGCCTGAGTTCAAGCAAAAGTGGAGCATGATTGAATGCGATCATCCCCTCCGCTTTACAGAACGAAATAAACATGAAAGAACATCAGAAAATATGTAGAAAGATACAGTCTTTCATGTCTCTCATGTAAAAGCTCAATCAGTGTTTAAACCGCAGAAAGACGTCAATAAATCAGCTTGTCAGGTCACTCACATAAGCCATTCGTTGACCATTAACTTGACAGACAGCCTGAGCGCACCTGCCGCCAAGTGTCATCATCTTCTAATTCTTCTGAGGTAAATCCAAGGTAAACAGCACAAAATAAATCTCCAAAAAAGGTGACGAGGGCAGTAACAGCTCTGCGTTCCTCAGCTCATGCCTGTGTGGGCGTGGTCACATTAACGCTAATCAGCTCGGCCTGGAGAAACTGTACATGTGATTGTGGATGAGTGGGCGGGTCCTGGTGATTGAGTGATGGTTGGGGCTGTGACGTGTGGCTGACTCTGTGACAATTCACAGAGTCACAATTCTGTGTCAATTTTTGAAGTCAGCTTATGTGATGTTCTCTCAATTTTTTTCAGTTGTATTGACAATTCAACATTCAAGATGACTTTGGGAAATGAGAGAAAGCAAACAGAGAAAAATAACTGCAGAAGTGGAGGAAATTAGTGAAAAGTCCACTAAAGGTGGGATAGGTAGACATTTTCTAAAAAAAAAAAACTTTTTCCCAAATTTGTTTAAACTGTCTATATATACCAATACATAATTAAAATGTAAGTACTCTGAAAAAGAAAGTATACAAATCGAGTGTCTGTAGTTCTCTCAGTGCTGCAATAAACACAGCTCATTATTTCATTCACTCCCACCCCCTCCCGTCCAAAGCCACGCCCCCAAAATGCATGAACGGGCGCTGCATATCGCGCTCAGCTGGAGGACACGTTTACCGCGGAGAGGAGCTGTGCATGTAGTGACATCATATCAGAATCACATGTAATAAAATGCCTAAAATTATCATTATTAATATAAACAACTAACATGGCTGGTAGTACTCACTATCAGGATACTGGTAATGGTAAAGTTTAAAATATATTGAGTTTGATTCGGTAACGAGCTAGTAACATAAAAACTAAAAACAGCAAAACTAAAACAGGTTGCATTGATACACGTTTTCCCGTTACCATCAGTTACACTGTGATTAAGGGGAATTTCATGTAAGATTCGTGTAACATATACGTAAAGCACTGTTGGCGTCACTTCCCAGATAGCAAACTGACATTGAATCAACGTGGAAATATGACATCGAAACAACGTTGATCTGACATTGTTTTGCTCATCGAATTAACGTTGAACCAACGTCAGACGCGTCATTCTTTCAAAACTAACGGAAAATCAACTTGAAATCAACGCGTTGTTTCAACGTTATGAAAGCAAACCAATTTTCGATTTCATTTAGCTTTGAAGAATGCCGCGTCTGACGTTGGTTCAACGTTAATTCGATGAGCAAATCAACGTTGTTTCAATGTCATGAGAGACGTCGTTTCCACGTTGATTCAATGTCAGTTTGCTATCTGGGTTTTCAGCCCCTGGTTGTCTGTTGTCGCCGGCTGGAAAGCCCCACCGATATTGACTCTCGTCTGCTTAATCCAAAGACTTTTTGGTCATATAGCCTTTTCAAAAACTGTCTTCCTTTTCTGCCTGGTTTTCCTTCGCTGACTGTATATGCAGATAACTGGGAATTTTGACTGCTCTTTCTCTGCCATAATTCTTCCTATAGCTTCCGTGCCTCTTCCACTCCTCGAGCAAACGTGTGCGCGCATGTGGGCGGCTCTACGCAGCAGCGCTGGTCACCATGGTAGCGAGGAAGTGACAGTCGCCCAGCCAATCACTTCTTTCGTCCCGGTTGGAAATAATGAGCTGTGTTTATTGCAGCACTGAGAGGACTGTAGACACTCGATTTGTATACTTTCTGTTCCAGAATACTTACATTTTAATTATGTATTGGTATACATAGACAGTTTAAACAAATTTGGGGAAAAAGTTTTTTTAGAAAATGTCTACCTACCCTGCCTTTAAGAAATTCCCCCCCTCAAAAACCAAACTCAAACTAATCAATTAATCTTTACTTGGGTTTCTGGAGTAAACAAAGCATGGGATGTGAATATTACAGATTACTGGATTTTCACAATTAAGTTGAGACATTATGTAAAGGTGGAAGACGTGCTTGTCGCTGTTGGTGAACAGATTGGATACGGGAATATAATTTCAGCGTCAAGGATGAATAAAGCAGTGGTGGTTTTCCTTAAAGATGAAAGTTTGGTGAGTAAACTAATTGAAACCGGCGTTTGGGTAAATGGAGCGTTTACTGTTGTGTCTCCGCTTGTGTCGCAATCTGTTAGAGTAACGATCTCTGATGTGCACAGGTTTATATTAAACAGTGACATTGAAAAGGAGTTGTTGAGGTTTGGATAAATGGCCAGGGAAGTGAAAATGAATCCGTTGAGATGTAGGAATGAAGCACTGAAACACGTGCTGTCGTTTCGGCGTCGGGTGTTTATGTTTCTTGATCAACAAACGCTGGACATTTCTTTCCGAAACAAACACAAGGGGAAATCATACATGATTTACACAAGCACCGGCAACTTGAAATGTTTCGAATGTGGAGACGTTGGACATAAAAAGATCGCTTGCCCACATAACAAAACGCAGCTAGAAAATAATGTAACTGATTGTTATGACTGACTCCAGGCCATGACAATCAATAGGAGACCATGCCATGAACAAATGGTGCCAAACTTAAATTTACTGTGTATCTAACGCAAATACAAACAACATAATTAACCATTAGATATGGATGTCAGCATCAGCAGTGTAAAGTAAGTGCTGGGATGTGTTGTAGGTGTGTGTGTGTGTGCAGATGTTGGATGTAAAAATAAAAGACATCAACTCAGATAAACTTAAAGGTGCATCTCCGTGAAATCCTGGCGTATCGAGCGAGGGCTAAGCCTGAAGCAGCTAGCCGAGCAGCGTCGAAGTCTTCAGCCACCGGATCAGGAAAAAAAAGAGAGCCACACAGCGGAGAAGCTCCTATTTAAAGCACCATCTTCCCAGGTGTTAGCAATTAAGCCTGAAAGAGAGGAGGAGCAGGGGAACGACCAAAAACAGTAACACTGATATTGAAGTTTTTTCTAGTGTACAGATTGGTGAAAATGTAGAGACCAGTGAGGAACCAAACAAAACAACAATTGAGGAGAATAAAGATAACAAAAATGCAGATGAAGGGATGAGTTGGGGAGAGCGGGGCACAACCTAACGCATTTTGGTTTTGGCTCAATTTATTTAAAAATAATTAGGTTAGAGTAATATTTTTTTTTCCACAAGCAACATACACATCTCTGCTACAAATGAACACTTACAGTTTTTTTCTAGGACCTACCATTTTCGTACAGTTGGACTGAAAGTGACAGAAGTGCAAATGTTACAGCTTAGCCCATATGCGGGGTTAACTGTAACAGACAGAGGGGTTAGTTGTAACACTTGTGTGTAACACACTTAATTCAGGACTATTTTATTTGTATAGTTTGATATTGTTTGTGCACCTGTATAGACAGATATCCATACATACATTCCTCATCCAATCATCCTTCTATTATGGATCAATATCATAGATAGAGACATAGAAAAGGGCTGCACAGTTTTGCAATAAATAATAATAAATAAAATTATAAAATATTGTAATTGCAATTAAATTAGATTTGTGTGTGGCAGCTGCATGTACACTTATTATTAATAATAATAATAACAGTAATAATAATACAAATGAGCTTAAAATAAAAATTTAAAGGGTTTATTAAATTAAAAACAGGCCATATTCATGGTACACTAAATTTTAAAGATTTTAAATTCCAACATTGTTTGTGAAAGTCCAACAAAGTTAAATGTATAAATAATACTCAAACTTGAAAAGTTGTGGCTTCCTGTTTTCATTTGATTATCGTTGTACACTTGGCGTCTTGTTTGTAACACTGTGCTACAACTAACCCCGCTGTGTGTATTACATATTTTAAGCCTAGCTAACAGTCGCTAGGAATTGCTGACAACGGTGCTGTGTTTGAGCCAACAAGACGGTGATTAAGGCAATATAAAGTTAGATTTGGAAAGGTATACACCCAACTCAGAAACCGAAAAAAATCTTTATGATGAAAAAATTTACTTTCATGGTGTCAAAACACTCTTTGTCCAGTATCTTCACGAAATATAATCAAAACTTTCCGCAAATTCGCGGGAGACCGGCGTCTTCTGGCAGCGAGAGAAACAGAGCGGAAGGACAGCCTGCTTGATCCTGACTGACTATGTAAACGGTCTGTGTTACATTAACCCCGCGTTAGGTTGTGCCCCGCGCTCCCATACTTCTTTTTCGTAAGGAATCTTTTACTTTTTAATTATTTTCCTTCCAGTTTATTTATTTGAAATGTTCCTTGTATGCCCTGATGTTGTAGAACGTAATCAAGTTTCTCCAAGGTCCATTTATTTTTTTGTCTATTTTAGTTTTGAGGAGGTTGATAAAATGGCACACACTGTACACACCACATTAACTTCTTTTCATAAATGCATGAGACGGAAATGATCGGAAGATTTGAGTGGTGACCATGCTGGCAACCCAAACCATAGACCTAAACACTACACCGTCCAACACCGCATTATTTCAGCAGTGGTTTTCTGGGGTTAAATACAGTAATCTGCAACATGGTGGCATTTTGGATTCAAGTTGTCAAGAATGAAATCGACAAAGTTTGATTACATTCTTCCATTTAATACAAGTATTTAGTCCAAAACTGAAAGTATAAATACATTTATTTACAATGAGATTCACAAAAACAATGTGCTTAACTCTAATGTATGTCTGCCCTAAAAATGAAGGTCTGAAACAGAATAGAAAGTGAAATACAGGGAGTGCCAAGCATTTTATGTAAATATGTTATATTGTGTGTGGTTTTTAAAAAATAAATAAATAAAATATATATATATATATATATATATATATATGTCTGTTTATTATTTGTGTTTTGGATCATGTGTGTTTGATAATCTGATAATTTGTCTTAGTGAGAAAGATGTTGAAGCGAATGTCTTATAAATAAAAATATCTTGCATACTTTGAGCTGGATGAGAAGAAATCGTGTGCGATGAGCCTCGGAGGGCTGGGCTGGTGTGTTCTGAACGAGGTAGATCTGTCTAATATCCATGATTCGGCTAATTATTCCACAATCATAATCTGTATTATCACAGCGTCTCTCATAAGGAGTCATACTACAAAGTTGTTGATTTTTAGATACCTAGTATTTCACAGTTAATAAATGCTACACGTAATGCAAGGGTTGAAAATGGGTGCCTGTTGAAAGCTGTTGAGAATATGAGTCATTCTCTGGGTTATGTCGTCGCAGCTTCTGCTCTCACACTCACTTTATTCTGAGCACGTCGAGCCGCTTCCTGACGTTTTCTTAATGAATCCTCCTCCTTTCTCAAACCCACCACTACTCTTCCTCCCTCGCTCCCACCACCGACTCTTTCTCTTTGTCTCTCTCTCCTTATCTCTGTAATGGTAAAATCACAGATATTGTCACATCAGCCTCACGACTGCGGAAACACGAGCCCCTCCTGTTTTAGAAGGCAGAAATATTTTCACTTACAGTGATTTTATAGGCATCTGTTCCCATCCACATAAAACATCTGTTGGACAGAAAATGTATAAGGCTTTTACAAATAAAAACAGTTTTCTTCCCAAATCTAGAGGTGGATGATACAAAAAAATCTACTGTTAAAACACAGGCAGTCAGAGACACATACAAACAGCTGGCAATTCTTCTCACAGAGAAATATAGAAAAAAAATACATATCATATAAATATATAACATAAGACAAAACATTAGTACAGTACCTAGCAGAAAATACTCCCTAAACACTCCAAAGCTGAAGTACATAAACAGTGCAAATAGATCCGAAGTATGGAGCCGGACGACTGATCGTTTTCACAGAAGCAGAATATTGTGACTGTACAGCGTTTCTCATGTCAGCAGATCAGGTTCATGTTCAGCTTGATCTACACATTCAGGTTCAGGACACCAGTTTGCTGCTCAGATGTCAGTGGATATGATCATGTCCCTACGCTCTGCGTGTGCAGAGGAAATCATCCATTACTCATACACAAATACAAAAGTTTTACAGAAATACATGCAAGCATTTATAGGAACATTCTGATGTGCACATACACAGTCCCCAGTTCCACTTTGCAGTCACTTGACAGACAAAGCAATTATCAATATCAAAATAACAGTCTGGAGCTTCAAAAACACTACTGCGATGCAGCACAAATATGTAAACGTGCACAAAATATCACGCCAATCAAGGTTAAATATGAAAAAATAAAATGTGTTCATTTGTCATGCTAAACATAAGTTCACATTATCCTGTCCTTATACATTTGACTTGGCAAATAAATAAATAAATAAATAAAAGTAAGTCCTGGCACTCACTGAAACTGCATGTGATTTAATCATACATGATTAAGTAGCTGTCATTGTTTATCAATGTTCATATTTCCTTCCTTTCAGAGATTTACATGATTTTCTTTTGCATCTTCTTTTCATAAAATCGCTTGGGATGAAAGCAGGGAAAGTTGCAGCATTATCAGGGACTCTCTCCTGTTTCTCAACCATATGATCTCTCCGATCCATAAACTGACACACACAGATCCTCCATGATGCTTTTGACCTATAGTCTTCCCATGTATTTGCCAGTGTTTCACGGGCCGTCTGTGAAGGCGAGGACATGTCCCAGGCCACTTACCCTCACACCGGGCCCGCGGGCCAGCAGACGAACTCACAGCGTGTACAGCTCTGAGCTGAAGATGCCGGCCTCCTTCTTCTCTCTCCTGCGGGTCCGATGAGCCTTCCAGCACGCGGCCGCCACCAGCAGCAGGACCAAGCCCAGCACCAGCAGGACCAGCGACACCACGCGGGTCTGGGGCAGCGTGTTGAAGCTGAAGGTGACGGCGCTGCCCGCCACACCGATGACCAGCGAGATCACCCCGAACGGGAACACACACCGGTACCAGGACTCCTCCGTGCCCCCGGTGGCCTGGGCCAAACGCTCCAGAGTGGACAGATCCTCGGCTTCTCTGGCTCCGGCCGCGGGGATCGAGCCGGCGCGGGACAGGCTGCGGTCGGGGTCCGGCTGAGCCGAGGCTGGGGGACGGCCCGATGAGCAGCCCATCTCACTGACGTCTCCTCCGGCCGGCTGCTTCGGGAGTGGGCATCTGCCTGGGGAGAGGGATATTTCTGGCTGCGCTCTATATATAGAGTTGGATGAGTGAGTCTGACTGGAGTCATGCAGGCGAAGACATCCTCTCCTCTCTCAGGCTGCGATGTGCATGTGTTGAGTCTCCCCTGCCTGTAACAGCAGCACATTGTCTGTTTTGCTAACAGAGCTGACTGAGTCTACAGAGCAGAGGGGCTGGGAGGAGCCAATGAGAGATGAGGGGCTGGGAGGAGCCAATGAGAGCAGAGGGGCTGGGAGGAGCCAATGAGAGATGAGGGGCTGGGAGGAGCCAATGAGAGCAGAGGGGCTGGGAGGAGCCAATGAGAGATGAGGGGCTGGGTGGAGCCAATGAGAGATGAGGGGCTGGGAGGAGCCAATGAGAGATGAGGGGCTGGGAGGAGCCGTCTGATTGGCTGCTTTTCTCCTGGTGGCAGATGGTTTGCGAGAGCTCCAAACATGAGTGTTATTGATGATGCTGATATATCCAGAGCGTATGCCACCAACATTTATGTCTATCTCCTGCTCTCTCACGCTTTTACTCATTCTTTTTCTAGAAATACATACATATATCCTCACCTTGAATGAATGAATGAATGCATGTGTGTAAGCCCGGTTAGGGTTAGGCTCAGGATTAGTAACCATTTCTCCAGTCTACTTAGAAAACCGTTCTACATCATTATAAAGTAGTTTGGTAATTGATATTTCTTATTATAAATACAATTGCAAATTTTTGTACTCAATGAAGTTTGCAATTGACATAGAATATAAATGTTTCACTTGGAAACCTTGTTGAATATTTTCAACCTGCAATAGAGAAGAAAAGACACTGGGATAAAAATAAAAAAGATATATTTTATCATAATCAAGACTATGGCTGAATCCCAATTCTCTGTCGTACTCGTTCCCCTTCGTCTTACCCCTAGCCCTTGTCCCTTGAAACGGTTACGTCATCTTACATCGTCCAATTACTGTGTCCAATAAAGTTAAGGAAGTAACATAAATAGAAACATTGTAGTAGAACAATGAACCAAAAAAAAAAAAAACCTTATATATAAATAAAACTTATATATATATAAACACACACACACACACACACACACACACACACATACATACATACATAGCCTATATGAACTACTTTGACTTTACCTCTGTTCAAATTTCTAAAGAAAGATGCTAATTGGTCGTGCAAAAGACCAAGAACTATATTTATTGGTTCAGTAGATGATAGTTTTAACCAATCTGGGGATGGGGTGGGACTAAGCATTAACAGTCATTTATGATTGGCTCAGAGGAAAAAAACGCACGGGTTTCTTTGACGAATCAATGCTGATCAAAACTTGATGACGCAATCACATTCACTACGGAGCTTCTGAATGTCCAAACGCGATTAACCCGATATCACAGAAAAGCCGCGAATCTCCTCTTTATGGGACTTTTTAAAGCATACGGATTGGAGCAGCGGTTCAAAAGTTATTTAACATTTAAGAACAACAGTTATTTTTAGCCGGCGGCGGCTGTATAGGTCTTTAAGGGTTAACTGGCGTCTGTGTCACCCGGGGCGACAACTGTTGATCACAAACTTCTCGAAACTTTCAAAATGTCCGGGATTGGGCTTTTGCTTTCCGTCTTCACTACTCATTATGTTTACATGCACAAGGTGTTGTTTCAATCGGACTGAATTCATTCATTTAAATCGGTGAATCTGAATGTATTGTTGATCTAATATTCCCGTGTTTTTGTCTCAGTCGGGATCCGTTTGAAGCTGAATGCATCATCTGAGAAGCTGATCACGTACGTGTATGTGTCAAATAATGTACAGATAATGAATGGCGACTGTAGAAAGCAAAAGCTGAATCCCGGACATTTTGGGTGATCTTGAAATGTGGGACTGATTGTGCAAATCAGCAATGTAACGTTAGCATAGCCTAGCGTAGCAAAGTAGCGATTTTTAAAAACTTTAAAAACGTTTCAACAAACAACATAGTTGCAAATATATATGTACATAACTGTGTTGAGCACAAAACAAGACTGTAATATTTTTTTATCAATCATTTAAGCGAAAAAACTTTCAACTCTGGATGGTATGCCCGCCATTGTTGCCAGTTGCGCAGTGCATTTCTTACCCCTTGGTTTCAAGTAAGCTCGCGAAAATTCTTGGTCTTAAGGGGTATATATACCCCTTCACCTTTCCCCTACCCCTAGATCAAAATGAGAATTGGGATAGCCCTTCCTCTCACGTGAACGTGCAAAACTAAGGGGAAGGGGTAAGACAGAGAATTGGGATTCAGCCTAAATAGATTAACATATTTCTGTCATGACAACTCTCTAATGCATATGACAATGTTGATATGTTTGTTCTTGGCGAAATAAAAACTGCTTCTGCTATTCAGACTGATCTCATGAAAATCATATTTCCATTTTTGGCGTTCTATCAACACGCGTAATCGGCATAATCGCTGGACTTCAGGAGGAACAGCCCAGCACTCCCCAGCAAACACAGAACGTTCCCCTAATGTCCCTGAATGGTCCCATAAGGTTATTTTTTGGGAACCAAACAAGAACGTTCCATGTAGGTTATTTTTAGGTTCCATTTTTATAACGCAAGGAGAATGTTCCGGGTACGTTCCCTTAACCTTAAGGGAAAGTTCTAGCAACGTTCTGGGAACCAAGAACTAACGTTCCCAGAACATTCCAAGAACCTAAATTTGTTTGCTGGGTCCATCATGAACAGCACTGTGGAAGCAGTGGAGTCGTTCAGGTTCCTGGGCACTACCATCTCTCAGGACCTGAAGTGTGCATAAGGCCCAGCAGAGAGTGTATTCGCCAGCTGAGGAAGTTCAACCTGCCACAGGAGCTGCTGATTCAGGTCTACACGCCGTCATGGAGTCTGTCTTATTCACATCCATCGCTGTCCGGTTCGGTTCTGCCACCAAATCAGACATCAGGAGACTGCATCGGACAGTCCGGACTAGGGGTTGAACCGACTAGTCGATTAGTCGACTAATCGATCTATTCATAAAGCCAACGTGCAAACTATCGTAAATCAAAGTGAAAGTAAGTCACAGAGCATCACAGATTCTGATGCTCTCTGTTATTAATTAGGCCTATGACTAATTACGCCAACTTACTCCTATGATTATATACAGTATATATTGATAAAAATGTTTTGAATTGGTTTCTCATCTAACAGATCTATTCACTCAGTTATACTAACAATAGCATGTTCTCCACAGCAATACTCAAAGAAAGCCCAATTCATCATTCCTGAAACAAAGCAGGTTAACACACATGAACGTGATGCTCAAAGGAGAGCTATTTATCAGCGAGAAGCTTTAGATGCACATGCTCAACATCTGCAGTCGATGTGGCTAATTAGATGCTCGTTTCTATTTATACAGCCACAGGTACCGTACTGGGGGATTTCAACGAGCACAGAGTAAGAACAATGTGATCTGATTTTGCTGGATCACATTCTACACACATAGCGAAATTTAACAAATTACAAGAACGTTTGGTCCAAGGAGCATTTCTGAAAGAAGCAGCTGTTGCATACAGGTAAACAGGGCTTCTTGTGTGAGATCTGCATGCATTCAGCTTCTGCTGCTGTCGATATGCACCGTATGAGTTCATGGATACTATTAGCTGTGTGTGTTTTCTCTCTGTCCATGTCATGGGAAGTAAAGTGTAGCCTGCGGGGTCCCTCTCTAATGTATGTTGTAGGTGACTGAATGAGGAAAGGGCCGTCCAGGACGAGTGAGAGAACGAGAGAATGAAGAGGAGTCTTTACACACTGAAACCAGCAATTGGATATACAAACGTATTTTAGTGATAAATTTGTGTGAGTGGAGCATGGCAAATGAATGTTGACTATCAGATGACCTTGAGGAGTGTGTGAGAACATGCCATATGTCCAGTCACCTGACTCTCTAGCTGACGCACTGAGCTCTCCCCATCTCCACCTGTGGCCCGATCTGCGGCCGTTTGTGCCAAATCATCAATGTATCTCAGCCACTGAACAAGCCTGCAGCGAGAGATGCACTATAGATGTCCTTTTCATCTGCTTATATCCGCAGCCGTGAGGACTGTGAGAGTCCTCGAATCAGCCACAGCACAAACTAGTCACGACCTGCTCCTGATGGGTCATTAACCCAGTTCTGGAGGAGCACGTGGGCAAGAACTACCATGGCACGAGGAGCTCGGATGGATTGATTTGAAAGTAGAGGAAAAGAGCTAGGAGGATCTCTTTTGTTGCTTTGTATCCATGAAGTGAAATGGGGGCTGACAGAGGCATGCTTTCAGAAGAGGTATGACAAACTCTGGAGATAATCTGAGGAAATCCTGAAGGATTAACAGTGCTAAAGTCTGAGAGATCATCTAAATCCAGGAATTTTATTCAACAAGCTGTGAAGAGTCTGAGCGACGTCAGTGGAGAAAATATACAGTATAAAAAAGCAAATTTCCAATAAAACATGTAAAATAATCTTCTCATGAACATAAAATAAAATTACTCATGTCATATTCCAAACCTAAGATATTTTGACAAATGTCTCAAAAGTGCTTTTGGTCCATTCAACGGAAGTCAATGCATGAGCTCCAAAGCTTTTGTGTTTCCCAGATAAAAGTCAGTCTGTCACGAACTGGCGGAGTAGATAAACATGAAGAAGGCTAATTAGTTTAGACAGTTTCTTTACTTGATAATTCACTAGATACACACAAAGAAGGCAGGAGAAAGTACACCACATCTATTCACAGATGAGACTGAACAATGAAACACACAGAACACAACTTAAGTACACGTGATAATAAGGGAGATAATGAGCGCACAGCTGAACATAATGAGTAACCAAGACAACCAACGACGAACTAAGACCTCGTCCACACGAAACCAGAGCTTTCTCTATCCAATATTTTTTTTCCTCGTTCTAAAAAAAAGTCCGTAAACACGGAGGCATCTCTAAAAATATCTGCGTCCACACGAAACCACTGAAACCGACTGAAAACGATGTAGTAGACATTCCAGACCAGTAGCGCTGTAATTCTGCCATAGAGATATACTAAAAATGCGAGAAGAAGAATTACGCTGGTTTCACACCGCACGCGTTAGCAAAGCGTCAGCCGCGCGTATTTTTTTTTTCGGCGCCCATTTTAACAGATTAAAGCATTCACACCGCACGCAGAGGCGGCATCGCGTAGCAGGAGCAGCAGTGCCGCGATCGTTTCGCCATCCTTTCTATTTTTGCCGCGCGGCTTACGCTGA